GTTGCTGCACCCCACCGGGTCCAGGTGCCATTGGCATCAACCACAGTGCTACGGAAAGTGATGCATCCGGCCTCAAGTCACATGGGGTGAGCCATCAAAGTGGAATTTGCCAGAGACAAAAGAGCCGATGCGATCCACCAGGCCCCAGCTACACACAGCCCCTGCTCTGAGCCAAACACGGGCATCTCCACACCTCCCTGTGCCACCGATCCCACCGCACGCTCCGTGCACAGCAGGATGCTCCGCCTGCACCATCCATGAGCGCCTCCATGGTGACAAATCACTGCCACCAGGAGCCAAAGCCACCTGCAGGTCCGGCACACCGGCACCTCTGCCCCCAGACCCACAGCCTCACACAGCCCAGCACAGCACACGCTGCGCCCAGGAGGGCGGTGATGCGTGGGCAGCAGGCGTGTGATATGGAGAGGAGTCTGATCAGGAGTTATTCTCAGCTCCTGCCGTGCTGAGAGCTCACACGCCTATAAATAGCCAGCAACGGAGCTGTACCTGAGCTGCAGCTTTGAACGTGACCTGGTGCTGCTCTGGGGCTGAGCCGCACTGCTCGGCATTGGGCTGGGACAGCACTGCCAGCAGGGATGCTGCGGTCCCACGGGTGGAAGCTCAGCGTTAGCTGGGCTGGGCTTCCCATAAAGCCCATCAGGGCTGGGCAGGACACACACTTCAGGAGCTCCCTGTTGAAGAAGCTCATCCAGATGCCCCACTGCAGGGTCCTGCTGCCAGCTGCCACAGCTGGGGACACAACCTGGCACAACACAGAGCGCAGAGGAGGGAATGGAGCGAGCAAAGATCCCAACCCGTGGGGCAGCGCTCAACAGGGCTGCACGTGGCACAGGGCTGGGGCAGATGTGGCCCCACAGCCCAACCCTCGAGGAACCACAGCCACCAAACCCAACCTCCCAGCCACCTCCTGCAGCCCCTCCACCAACACCACAACCTCCACCTGCTCACACTGCTGCCAGGACAGATACGGTGTGGGGACACACGGTGACAGAGCAGCCCTTCAGCTGCTCATTCCCTCCACTGTGATTGCAGGGATGCCTCAGGCCAGACCACCAGGCTCCAACAGCTTCTTCCAAAAAGAAAAGAGCCTCAGCATTTCTGAATTAAAAAGAAATACGCAGCTGCCTCCATCAGACCAGGCAAACAGCAGCGTAAGGAATGAAAGAAACGCTTGAGCGAAACAAAACGTGGAAGAAAGAGATGAGAGGAAGGATGAGAGGATCTGAGGGCACGCCGGGCGCCGCTCACAGCATCACAGCCACTCCGACATCTCCATTTGCACAGCTCTAATCTCAGCCCTGCAATGCAGCATCCCCTGCCTTCCCAGCTCCGCTCCCGGCTGGGAGCTGCAATGCAGCAGCACTGGGGAAGCCCTGCTCCCCGTCTCCCTCCTGGCAGCAGCACTGTGCCCCCAGACCCACAGCTCCGCTGCCCCAGAGCGCCCCAAAGGAGCGACTGCTGCAGATCCCATTCCCACCTCTGCGCTCTCCCAGGAGGGCGTTTGCACACCAGAGGAGGACGTGACTTTGCAGCAGGACTGAGCCCCATCTCAGCTCCCACACCTCTGAGCCTCACTCCCGAGACCCAAACCTGGGATCAACCACCCCGACAGACAGAGCCACCCCCACTGCACGCAGGCAGCTGCACCTGCATCTGAGGCCACACCTGAGCACATCCTGGGGACACCACTGCCACACACATCACCCAGCGCCACCCGCGCAGTGGCACAATGAGGCTCAGGATGAGAAACATCACCGGGCACCACAGAGCCACGTGAGCAGAGCTCACAGTCCTGCAGAACCCTGCCAGGATCCCGCAGAACCACGGCTGTGCCTTCAGCCGTCCCTGGGTGCTGGCATTGCTCAGGGGTGACACAGTGCCAGGGGCACAGGCTGTAGCTCCGTGCTGGCCTGGCACCAATCCCCCTCCCTGAGCAGCGGGCGCAGCCCCAGCCAAGGCAGGGGAAGGACCAGGAAAGGGGGTGGGGGGGATGGGGGATGCCGCTCTCTGGCACTGCAGGGTGCGAAGCTGTGCAGGACGGCACCGAGCTGGGAACTCCTGGGGCAGGGCAGCAGCGAGGGCACAGTGCTGGTGGCACTCGAGGGCAGTGGCACAGAGCTGGGGCTGCAGGACTCTGCAAAAGGCACAGAGCTGGCAGAGCTCCTGCGAGTGCCACCAACAGGAGCATCCCCACACCTGGCAGCACGCAGCGCCAGCAGCACGGCCTGAGGGGTCACAACCTGCGTGCACAGCACAGACACAGCCCTGGGGGTGGGCAGCCTGCTGGTGCCAGGCAGCTGTTGGTTCCTCCCCAAAATGAACCATTTTGCATTCAGCCACGTTGTTTTGGTGGGAGAGTGTTGGATCTGGGGGAAAAACGCAGCCAGGCCCTGGGAAAGCTCCATGTGAAACAACAATTTTCTTGCTCTCTGGAGGGAAGAATTTATTCCACCAACCCATCTCGGAGTAGTTTTGCCTTCAGATGTTTGTTCTGCTGCTTTTCCACAGGAAACCTTAAAAAGCAGCATGGATTTCTCAGCACCACCATTATCACACAACGGCACGGATCACCCCTTTCTCCCCATCCTATTTCTAAACGCTGGAGCTCCGTTTTGCTGCCAGAAGGAAATAAATTCCCACCCCGACAACCTCAGCACCGCCACACGGGTGCACTGAGGGAGGAATAACGTTCACATCAGAGCGGCCTCGAGCAGCCGCGCTGCTTGGAGAGGCAGTAACCACTCCTGGGGATGGAAGAGCTGTGCAGGCTTTGAGCCAACAGCGAGCAGAGCTGCACAGCACTGCCATGCACCCCAAGGCTGTGCTGCAAACACCGCGGGGAGCACCGCTTCCCCAGGCACTCTGAGCACCCCGGCACTTCTGTCCATTAGCAGCCACTACAGGGGCACGGTGCACAGCAAGAGGTGGCCATGGAAATGGCTGCTCCAGGGACCTGCAGCGAGCACACGGGGCCACGCTGCCTCTGTGCCTTTCATCCTGAACCACCAGCACGCCCGGCTTTGATGAGGACGCTCAGCCTGCGCTTGATGTGCAACGTGTAATTTGGATGTTAGAAATAGCCTCTACAAAGCACATGTGGTTGCTGTGCTCTGGTGACCTCTCCCAGCTTACGCAGGCCGCCCTGCTTTAAGTGTGGGGCCACCTCTGCCAGCCCTACAAAGGCTGCGGTGCCATCAAACGTGACATTTGCAGAGAGGTAACATTTGGCCACCACTACACAAACCGTAGCTTTGGCCAACGCTGCTCTTCAGCAGAGGCTGGGGACCATTTCTGGCAGTATGGGATGGAGATGGGAGCTCAGGTGCAGAGATCAGGGATGCAGAGTGCACCCGTGAGCCACCGCCCTCCACGGCCATGGGCACAGCTCACACTGTGAGATCTGCAGAGGAGCTGCCATCCCTGCAGAGGGTTCATCCACCCGCACAGCAGCGGATCAGTGAGGGGTCACCACCAGGAGCTCAGCACGTGCCCAACTGCAGCGGATGGAGCAGCCTCCACCACACTGCTGTCATCCCACTCCCCCAAGCATCTCCGAGCTCCACAGGCTGTCAAGGACATGCCAGGTCGTTGGTGGCTCAGTTAACGAAGCGGCTGCGATTCAACAGCACAGCTCCCCCTGAATGCAAGCACACAGCCAGAGCTGCACATGAGGAGAACAGCACAGCAGCACGGTGACAAACTGAGCTGCCAGCAGGGAACCGGTGCTTCCCACCTCGGGAAGCCCAGCAATGTTCATGGGCTGAAAGAACGACCAACTTCGGGAAGCACAGAGCAGAGAGTTCACAAACCCAACGTGGCAGCACTGGGCCAACTCAGCCTGGCCAAGGGCAACCGAAGCACAGCCTGGAGGGATGCTCCGCCCCAACGGAGAACCACCCCAAAACCTCCATCAGCTGTAGAGCAATTTGTGCACGAGGGTTTGTTCCTACTGGGCCAGTCCTGCACCCACAGGGAAGGGCAAGGGCTCTTCTTGAGGGCACTGAGGAACCCCCAAAAGCAGAATTACAGGGGCACACCAAAACCTCCGGAGCACAGGTACCAATGATGTGCATCCATTAGGAACAGACCTTCCTGTAAAACTGCCACGCACCCAGCAGGACCTGGGGAACGGGGATCCCACAGCAGTAGAGCCACCAAAAAGCCCCAAGCAGCGAAGGCAACCTCACACACACAGCACCTCGGCCCCACTCTGGGCTCACCCTGTGGCTTCCCACGGCACAGCGGCCACGGGACACTGCAGACCCACGAGGCACAGCCCTGCAGCTCAGCGGGGTCCGTGCCAACCCGCAGCCCCCAGCTGCCGCGCTCGCACCGAACGCTCCGAGCAGCCTCGCCATGGCTGCCTTGAGATCGCTTGCCATCTTCTCGCGAGCTGCGAGCCCCCAGGGCTGCGGGCACAGGGGAACGCAGCGCTGCTTTCCTGGAGATCGGCGCACATCCACGCATTTTGGGCACAGGGAGCGGAAGGCGAGGGCCGGGCACGGCGCTCAGCCACGAAGCGCCGACGAGACCCGAGCGCGCAGAGCCGCTCCCCACCGCAGCATCGCACGCGGCCGCGGGTGAGAGCGGCTCGCACCGCACCGCGCAGCGCCCCGAGGGGGGCACGTAGCCCCGAGCGGCCCCCCCCGCTGCGCTCCCACCGAGCTCCGCGTGCCGAGGGCAGCCCTCGGGACGGAGCACCGCTGCGCCTTCGGGTCCCGTTCGGAAACCAGTCGCGGCCGACAGCCCGCACGGGGCCGGGGCAGCCCCGCTCCGCACGGCCTCGCACGTGGCCTCGCCCCCGGGCCAAGCAGCAGGGAGATCCCAGAGCCTCCCGGGATCTCCTGGATTTCCTCATCCCACAACAGCTGCCGCCGGAACGCTCGCCCACGAACCGAACCCCCTCGGCTCCGCCTACGCGCCGCACCGACCCCGCGGGCGGACCGGGGGCTGCGAGCGGGGAGAGGGGCGGCACTCACCCAACATCTGGCTGAAGAGCAGCTGCTCCAGGTCGCCCAGCACCGTCACCACCAGCTCGGGGTCCACCTTCAGGTACGCCTTCTCCTCGGCCCCCGCCGCCGCCGGCCCCTTGCCGCCCAGCAGCTCGTCGTCGCACTTGCCGCCCCCTCCTCCTCCGCCTCCGCCCGCCTCGGGTGCTTTGCTGAGCGGCTTCACCTCGGCGTAGGGCCCGCGGGGGATGCGGCTCGGCTTCCCGGCGGCGGGCTGCGGCTTCTGGGGCCCGGCGGGGCGCGGCGGCAGCAGGGAGTGCTCGGAGCGGGACAGACTGCGCGACATGGCGGGCGCCTCGCGGCCACGGGGACCGCCGCCCCCGCCCCGTCCCCCCGCCGCCACCGCGGTGGTCGCCGTCCCTTTGGCCATGTCGTCGCTCCAGCGCGGCTCGTAGAGCTGCCGCTTCTTCTCGGCGTCGGTGAGGAAGGCCAGGTTGGTGAGCGACTTCTGCTTGCGCAGGTTGGAGCCGGCCGGCAGCCGCCCCTCCGCGCTGCTCGCCTTGAACACCCGCAGCTCCGCGCCCCGCGGCCCCCCCGCCGCCGCCGCCGCCGCCTTCGCCCGTTTGGGCATCACCGCGCCGCCGCCGTCGGGGCCCCGCCGAAAGCCGCGCAGCTCCGCCGCGCCCTCCTCGCCCAGCTCCACGTCGGGAAGGCTCTTGAGGTTGCTCCCCAGCATCCCCGCGCTGCAATCATTTAACCCGCCGGGGGCTGCTGCGGCACCGAGGGCGCGCCGGGAAAAAAGCAGACAGAGAGGAAGAGGGAGAGAGAAAAGAGCGGCGTCAGCGCCCGCCCCACCGGCGGGGAGAGGGGGGATCGCGGCGGGGGGAGCGGAGCGGAGCGGCCCCACCTCACTGCTCCGCCGCCGGCGGGACACTGCGAACCAGCGGAATGTCACGGGCAAACAAAAAGGGCCCGCCCTCCTCGGGCGCGGGCAGGGGGCGGGGCGCCGGGCGCGCTCCCGCCGAGGGGGGTGTGGCCGAGCGGGGGCGCGCTCGTGGGGGGAGGATCGCGCAGCGCTGAGCGCCGCGGGAACGCGCGGGGAACTGCGGGGCTGCGGGTGCTGAGCGCTCCGCTGCGGGGGGTGGCAAAGCAGCGCGGTGCCGGCAAAGCGCCCGCGTCCCCGGGAAGGGGGGAAACTTCCCCGATTCACCCCGACGGGGGCGGGAGGGGCCCTACAGGCGCCCCCGAGCGACGCCACGGCCCCCAACCCCGGCACGGCCCGGGGGAAGGAAGGGGGCGAAAAGCGGGGCAGCGGGATCTGGTTATCATCGTTTTTCATTAATTATCCGTCCCTCGGGAGGGGTGAATTAAGTCTATTTGGTGACCTCACGCAGGCTGCCATGGCAACCGCCGGGAAATATTGCATTAGAGCACATCGCCGCTGCGGAGATAAGGAGCGGGAGGGCGGGGGGCAGCGCCAGAGCCGGCCCCAACCGCCCCCCCCCTTCCGGAGATTTGGGGTTCAGCCCCACAACGCTGAGCTGCCCCGACACCACCGGGAGGGAAAGCAAAGCGCGCCCCAATGGGAGCTCTGCACCCAAAGGAGCTGTTGGGTCCCCGCGCTGCGCCCCAGAGCCTCCCCGCTTTGAGAGCCTTCACCAAGCCATGCAGCTGCTGCTTAAGCACAGGGCCCGTGGCGGGGGGTTGGGAGGGCTCGGGTCATTTGGGATTGGCCTCTCCCTGCCCCCCGCCCCTCCAGCGAGGCCCATCTGCCCCCAAAGCGATGCCCCACGCGGAGGGTCCGGGCAGGGGGACGGCACGGCACTACGAACCCAACCCCCAACCTCCCCGAGCCGTTTTCAGAACCGCCCGTCCCCCATTCGGTGCCGACACCCGGGACCCCCAGGCTGAGCCCCGCTGCCGGCAGTCCCGGGAGCGGCTCTGACCGACTTCCGTCCGCTCTCATCAGCCGCAGCCGCTCCCGCAGCGCCTCGCCCTCAGCTCCAGCCCTCCGCGGAGCACCCGCCATCCTCCGCTCGCTGCCCTGGCAACCGCCGCCCCAGCATCCTTGCGAGCAGCAGCACCCCCGCCCCCCAAAAAACCCACCCCAAAGCAAGCAGTGCAGAGCGGCGGGCTGATGCTGGTACCCGGTGCGCGATGGAGACCCCACGTCTGGGTTCAGCGGCCCCCCGGAAAATAAAGGGTTCCCTGCTGCCCCGCTTGCCCAGCAAAGCGCGAGCAGTGCTGGTGAATGGTTCATTGAAAAATGCCGTCGTGAGCGCGGAGCCGACCACGCAACGAGGGGGGGGGGGGGGGGGGCGGTGGGGGGCTCGTCCCCCGCACCTCTCAAGGCGCTGCCACCCGCGGGAGGGTCGGGAGGAACGCGCGGCTGCTCGGCGCCCGCCCGGGTGCGCAGCGCTGCCGGTGGGGCTGCGGGCGCGGGGAGCTGCCGGTGCCAGGGCCCGACTGTGAGCTGGCTGCCGGCCGCCTCCTCGGAAATGGGTCATTCCTGGAGCTGCTGGAAAACTAGAAAGAGGAGGAAAGGGAGCCAAGCGGCGGCCGGGCGTCGTGGGGGGCGGCGGGGGTGAACCTGGGCTGCCGGGCACCGGGAGCGCCCGCCCCACGGCAGCCCCACGCGGCAGGAAGGGTCCCCCATCCCTTCCTCGTGCCCTCATTGCGCTTTCTGACCTCACAGGATCGCCCTGCATGTGCAGCCAGCATCGTCCTCGCCCCAAATCAGGGCCGTCCTCACTCCCCCGACTCTGCTTCCCCCTCCCCATCCTTCTCCTGCTCGCTACGTGCTGCGCTTTGGGGATGGATGCTCCCATGCTCTGCACAGCCTCAGCCCCACAGCTGCTCGTGCATCGCGTCCAGCCCCGCTCCCAGCTGCCTCCAGCTGCTCTGGGAGGCCCTGCACGAGGCACTACCGACACAGCCAGCAGCTCCCGCAGCCCCCAGTGCCTCCTCCCCACAGTGCCTGGGCTCTGGTCAGAACCCACCAGGGGTCGAGGGGCACCCGGAGAGCCACAGCTCACCCAAGGACTGCCCGGTGTCTTCTGGCACCCCATTGTCGCTGTTTGATGGCATTTGGCCCCAGGGGACTCACATTGCCCACCTGCAGCCCCCCAGCAGCACCAAGCTGGCAGCAAGCAAAGCCAAGCGCCCACACAAGCATTGCCCAGAGCAGTGCTGACCCCTATTTTTTTTTGGGGGGGGGGGAACCCCAGCACAGCCCTGGAATGGGGCAGGATGAGCTGTGGGCACAGGGCAGCACTCCCACACAGCCCACATGCGGCCCCCAAGCAGGGGATGCACAGAATGCCCCCCGCACACCCCGTGCACATGCAGAAAACCCCACGCACTTACTCATGGCTCTGGATTTGGGGTCGGGCACCTCAGCAGGAGCGGTGTCACACAGGGATGTGGCATTCTGCTCTCCATCCTCCTGCAGCCTGGGAGCAGAGCGGGGCTGTGAGCGGGGGCTGCAGCTGATCAGGGACACCCAGAGATGGGGACCCCCAGAAATTGGCACGTGGTGCCTGAGCCTCGCTGTGGACTCTGAGAACACCGTTCCCATGGGGTGGGGGTACCCGAGGTGTCACATCTCCTTCAGCTTTGCCCCTGCCCCATGCCACACTCCCATGGGTGCCCCCAGACACCCAGCTGGGGCATCCCCAGCTCCGATTCCTACAGCCCCACTGTTCCAGTGATGCAACCCACGCCATCCCCACCGGCCTCCCCATCCCCCCACCCCCCACCACATCCCCCATCACTCACCGGTAGTGGAACGGGGCAACAGTGGCTGTCACAGGGCGGCTCTGCGGGGAGGCTGAGGAGAAGCTGATGGTCCCCGACCCAAACATGGGGCTCCTGCTCATAGGGCCAGCGTCGGGTCCATCCTCCACTGCCATCCCGAGGGGACGGTGGGCCCCAGGCCCCCTTAGGCTGTACTCCACCCGGCTTCCCCCCACCCCCTTCCCGGGGAGCAGTGGGGCTCTCTGCCCCCCATGGGAGGTTACACCTGGGCTCTCGGTTGCCTCACGACCTGAAGCTCTGGGCCTGGGTTTGAGGCTTTTGGGGCCGGGGGGTGCTGCCGGCCGTGGGGATGTGGCCCGGTGGGAGGCAGGGGGGCCTGAGGTGCTGTGCCGGGCCGGGGGGGCTGCAGAAGGCAGTTTGTTGGGGGTCGTGGATCGTGGCACCGGGATGGCGGAGGTGAAGTGGCCACGGGCGGTCGGGGCCAAGTTGGCCGTTCCATTCATCCTGGTGAGGCAGCTCCAGGAAGGCACTGCGGAGGGAGAGGAGAGTGAAGGAGCTGAACTGGAGCACGGTGATGTCCCTCCTCCATGGCCCCAATTGCAGCCACAAGGGCAGCTCTGTCCCTGTGTCCCCATGTCTCCGCACAGGCAGAGACTCAAAGTAGCAGGGACCCCTCTTGGCCACCAACACCATCCCCTGGGCCCCAAAACCACCCCAGCCCACTTCTCAGTCCTCTAAGACCATCCAGGCTGCAGCTCTCCAAGGAAAAAAAAAAGAATCCCCAAACTCAAATAAGTGAACAAATCTGCAGGGACAAGAGGGGACACAGCTGGACATATGGGGACATGCTGGGGAGGGCACCCAGGTGCTGCTCTACCCCACAGAGGCTTCGCCTGGAGCTGGAGCAGTGAGAACAGGCACAGCTTTGTGCTGACGGTTGGCTCTGGGGCACACACAGCCCGCTCTGTTCGTGGCCTGGCCGCAGCCTGACGGCTCTCAGGGCACTCAGCACTGGGGCTGTGATGCATCTCTATGGATTTTTTCGACCTATTCGGTCAGGTTGGATTCCCTCCCGTGGGCACAGCACACCCCCCAGGGCAGCCGTCCCTGTGCTCAGCCAAGTGTGGTCCTGCCCCATGATGTCACACCGTGGGACCCTCAGATGGGGACAAAGATGCTCGTGGGTCCAGGGATGCCATGTGAGCACCGAGCACCAAGCCGGACTCAGGAGAGCCTCCCACTCTAAGCAGCCTACCGCTAATCACCCATTATTTTATTAGTGAGCACAAATTAAAGTCATCCCTAGGAGATCCTGCACTTTCCCACTCTGAGCAAGCCATTAACTTGCCACCAACTTAATTCCTGCCCGCAGGCAGAGCTGCTCGGGGTGCAGAGGGTCCCCCCTGTGCCACATCACCGTGCTGTCGCCACGCAGGTTACAGCCTGACCTACATAGAGGCTCTTCCTGATGCCGTGGCTCCTTTGCAATCAGCTCCAAAGGGAAGCGATTTTCTCCTCATGAAAATGAGATGCTGGCTCTGCAGGCTCAGCTCGGTGGCGGAGCACCAAAGCGTGGGGTGGGCTTGGGGTGCTGTTCCTGGGGGTTCTCCCCCCACTGCTGTGGGTCTGGAGCTCTGAGCTCCACATTGCCCCGAAGCACAGAGCACTGAACCCAGGGACAGGGCAGCCGTCGATGGTTCGGGTGAGGGGGTCCGTAGGGGTGGATGTCTGCACCAAAGCGAAACAAAGCAGCCTTGGCTGAGCCGTGTCCTTCATCCCAGGACAAATGCAAACCGCAGCCCCGGAGGCACGTCTCTTTCAAAGAGGCATCTGTTGTGCTCGGGGCTGCAGCAACTCGCTTGGAATAGAGTCAAAACTCACCTCACACCTGTGGTTTCGGCAAGCAGAAAGGAACACTCGGACCTGGAGGCTGAGCCCCGGGTTGAGTCCCCATGGCAGAGCTTGGGGGGCACCGCAGCTCAGCCCTGCAGCAGGACTCTGAGCACAGGCACACTGAGATGCAAAAAAGCACGGACTTCCACCTCTGATGGTGCTTCTCTACCTCTCTGTGTCTCAGTTTCCCCACCCCGAGTGAACCCACAGCTCTGGATGTCCCCATGATGTCCTGTGGGATCACAGGCGATGGCAGCCTTCAGCACGCTCCAACCGACGGGAGTGCAGATTGCACACCATCACCCCAAATCCCCCGAATCCTCCCAGGAGGGTGAGGAGAATCCTCCCACACCGACATTTGCAGCCTGGCTCAGACGGGTTGGGCACGGATCCCCCAAAGCCCCTCCATGCAGGATCCAACCCCGTGCTGCCTTTGGGGCTGGCGCTGCTGCAATGCAACCTCCTGCCCGGCACGCTCAGAAGGATGACAAAGAAAAGGCTCCTTGTGACACAAGGGACATGAAACTCTCCTAAGAGAAACAGAGGGCAGCAAGGAGAGAAAGGAGCCTTCAGAGGGGAACAAACCACCGATTCAGCCTCCAGCCCTCGCGCTGCAGCCGGGACCTGGCCTGCCCCCAGCTGGGTGTCACCGCTGGGACACTGCACCGCTGGGCACTGCACTGCTGTAGGGCTCAGTGCTACAGAGTGGGGTTTGGGGCTCAAAGCGCGGCTGGGATGGGAGCAATGAGCACTGAGCGGTGTGAGTCCGTGACACAGAACACTGAACCCTGCAGAGCTGCAGACACGCATGCAACGCACTGCCATCGGGCACCCAGCAGCAAGCTTTTGGGGGCAGCTTCAGTGCCCGTGGAGCTGCTGGGTGAAGGGCTGCGGGCCGACGGAACAGGCGGGTGTCGGAGCAGCGATGGTTGCAGAGCCACAGCACTAATCCCTGCTTCAGCCACTCCACGGCAATCCCATTAGGCACTAAGCCCACTTTAATAACACCGTGCTGTTAGCAAAGCTCGGAGCTCAGCTGGACTGGCTCCAGCACCAAATCCTGGGGTCCGGCGGCAGAACCTCCTCTGCCACAGCCGGGCCGGGTGAGAGCCCTGCAGGTCAGCCCGGTACCGGGCACGTGCCGGCCGCCTCTCCCCGAGGCCGCTCCGCGCGATGCCGTCCCCGGCCAGGTTCGCAGCGCTCTCGATGCCTGAGATGCGAGTCGTGACCCGAGGAGCTCCGCGCGTCCCCGCGGCCGTTCAGGAGCCGCCGCTGCTGGACAGCTCCCCGGTACCGGTGCCGCCCACGCGCGTCCCGGGCTCCTCCGTGACGGGGCGGAGCGCGGCCGGAAGCCAAGCGCTGCAGGCGGGACGGGGACCGGAGGAGCCGGGGAGCTCGGAGGCCTCCTGAGCTCGAGCGGATGGCGCGGCTCCGCCCTGCGCTCACCGGCACGACGCGGCCGGACGGAAGCGGCCCCTCTGGCCTCGGCCCCAAAACCGGGAGTTCCGGCGCTGTCCGTGCGGAGCGGCGCTCGAGGACGCAGCTGTGCGGAGCGCATTAAGCGGGCGGATGCGACGCGTTGGACGCGAGCGATGGCACGGCTGCGATCGCTCGTCCCGGCGCTGCGCGGCCCTCTGCTCCGCCGAACGGGCCGACAAAAGGTGTTTTTTTGCCCCATCAGAGCGTGCTGAGGATTTGGGAAGTGCTGCACGGTAACGGCAGTGGGTTCGGCAGCACGGGCCCCAAAGCAGCCGCGGTAGCCGGGCGCGCAGCACAGGATGTTCCACCGCGATCTCCCACACCACGAACGCGCAGCTCTTGCAGCAAAAAAACTGCCCGAGACCCCCACGTGTGCCGAGGTCCCTCTGAAGGGAGCTCAGCCACCACCGAACTCCTCATCCCCGGTTCTGGGCTCCCCGGGATGGGCGTCTGCGGCTGGAAGCAAAAGCCATGAGGAGTCTTTAATGGGATGAGTGGATTTTCCAGCGAGCTGCAAAGCTGCAGTGCCTGTGAGTGCCACGCAAACACCTCGTTATGCCGGTATTAACGAGGAGTTTGCAGCGTTTGCTGTGTGCAGTGCAAGCGGCCAGCTGCCAGCCCGGCTTCAGACTGATCGCCGCAACGCAGCCGGGTGGGAGCAGCATCTCTGGGCTCCATTAGCATCCCCACAGGGCAGTGATCTGCACGTGGCTGTAATGGAAGAAGCTCCCCCAGCCCCGCGCTGCCCCATCCCTGCACCCTCACATCCAAAATTAATCCTTCATGCTCAAAGGAAAGCAGCTGATAGAGCAATCGCGGGTCCATCGCACCAGGAGGAGTTTCAGCTTTCCTGGAGGAGTCTGAGCATCCCCCGAGCACCCCCACGGAGGAGGGCAGTTCTCCAGCTTTCCGCCCTTTCCCCTCCCCGTGGCACAGAAATCTCCTCTGGAAAGGGTCCAGAGAGGGAGCGGGGAAAGCAAAGCGAGGAAAACCGGAGGGTGGAGATGGGGCTGGGAGGGGAGGAGAAGCCGGGAGTCATCGCACAGCGCCGAGCCGGGGGAGCTTCCGCTGCCCGCTGCCCCGCTTTGCTGCCGGAGGTGACGCGGAACGGCCGCATCCGCACCGAGCCTCCAATGTCCGCAGGAGCCGAGGATGAGGACGGAGATGATCGCAGCCCCGTAAGGGCGGCGGCGCCCCGGGACACCACGAGCCCGAAAGCCAACCCTGCAACGCTCGCGGGGCCGCAGCCGCAGCGCAGGGTCAGAACGCGGCCGCCGTGGCGGTGCGGGGAAAAACCGGCGTGGCGATGGGGGAACGGCAGCCGGGGCTGGGGAAGGCAGGGAGCCGGAGCGCCGTCCTGCAGAGCCTTTCTCCTCTGAGCATCCCCGAACCCATGGTTCAACTCGGCTGTGCCCACACGGCCGTGGCACCACCCTGAGCCCGTGCTGCGGCCCCCAAAGCCTTTGCTCAGTCACATAAAGCTCATTAGAGGCCACCTGTTAATGAGTAAGGCTTGGGGCCCTCCCTCAGCCCCGGGGAACAGTCGGAGAGGCTGGGAAAGGCTCATGTCCAACCTGGGAGTGTACAAAGACTCTCAGGCTGTGGCAAGGACCAAGGGACAAGGGCCAGCTCAGTGTCCCAGCACCGGCCCTTGGGCCCACGGGAAGATATGCCACCATTCTGGCAGCCTCTGCCAGCTCCATGTAGGATCATCGCTCCACCCGGTGCCGGGGCTGCTCCCCACTGTGCTGGGTGGGAGCCGGGGGGCACCTGGCCTCGGTCCCGCTTGTCCCCTGCAGGGCCAGCCCCGCTTCAGCCCAGAGCCGGAAACACCTTTTTCCTGTCCCTGGGCTGCAGCGTGGGGCTCTCGGCAGGAAAAGCCTCCCCATGGCTATTAATAACCTGCCAGACCCCCAACCCCATCCTCACTTCCATCCCCACTCCAATCCCTGCCCCCTGCCCAAACCCCAGGACTCACCTGGGAGCCCCCCAGGAGGAGGTCCAGATCCTGGGGACTTCATCCCCCCCCCCAGTCTCAAATTGCTTTTGGGGTGCAGCCCCAACAAAACTCACCCACCCACAACCCCCAGCCTGCCCCCACCCCAGCAGCAGCCTGCCCAGTGCCGGCGGCAGCCCGGAGCCGCCCTACGCCCCCCGGGCATCCTCGAGCCGCGTCAGATGGAGAGCGATGCCCACAAAGCACAGAGGGAAACTGAGGCAGGGGCACGGAGGGCGGTGAGCCCGGGGCTGCGTCTCTCCCGGGACATCCCAGTCGCTGGGAACCGGGACAAACAATGGGGACAGCAGGCGGAATCCCGCCCCGCTGCTGGCAATGTGTGCCCACGTCCCACGCCGCTGCCCAGCGGAGCCCCCCCGCAGCCGCAGCGGCACACCCAGCCTGGCGCGGGCTGCTGGCTTCTCTCCCGTCTGGATTTTTCCGAGGTGAGATCCGGGAGATCGGCGGCACCGCTGCACGCCCTCCTGGGCTCTGCGCTGCGCAGCCCGGCACGGGAGCGCGTTCCGGAGGCGTGGAGCCGCACAAGGGTCCCCCCAAAAACTCCCCCGAGCTCCCTGGTGCCCAGCGGTCCGCGCAGAGTCCTGCGGGGATCCCGGAGCCACCGACCGCAGCGCGGATGGAGACGGTCTGGCCCGACCCGGCACCGCCACGAAGTCCCCCCGCACCCTCACCGTCCTCAGCCCGGCGGGACGCGTCCGGGATCAGCGGCCGTCACCGCGCCGTCCGTCGCCACGAAGCTCTGCGGGGCATCTTCTCGAGCGCGGGTCGGGCGTGAGAACCTCGAGCTGCTCGCCCCGCTACGGCGTCCCACCGCGGGCAGCCCCGGGCCTCAGTTTCCCCACCGCTTCGCGCAGCCCACGGACAGGAGATCCCCGAGATGGGGCCGGGAGACACGGCGGTCGGCACCTCTCCCGCAGCACCGTCCCGGCCGCGCTGCCCACGCTGCGGGACGCGCGTGGTGGCGCACGGGGAGGCAGCTCCGAGTTCCCAGCGGGATGTTCCGCTCCCCCTCCGCCCCCCCCACCCCGCTCACCTCCGCTCTGCTCCGCTCAGCACCGCGGCCGCATCCCGGCACCGCCGCTCCCGGTGCCGCTTCCACAATGGCAGCGGCGAATTGAAGCGGGCGCCGGGCTCCGGGGAGCAGGGCGGAGTCGCGCAGAAGCCCGGCCCCCCCGCGCCCCCCCCAACCCGCCCCCCGCAGTGCCGAAGTGCCGCGAACGCGCGTGGAGCGGGGAAAGGGGGGGAGGGGGGGCGGAAAATCCCACGGGACCCCCGGCGCGCCCCCGCCCCGCGATACCCGCAATCCCCGCCCCCTCCCCGCCCCCTCGGGCGGTCCCGGCTGGTGGCTCCGACCGGCAATGGCGGCGCTGGGGGCGGCCCGGGACGCGGCCACGGCCACGGGTGGCGGCGCGGCGCCGTTCGCGTTGCGGCATCTGCACCTATCGCTGCGCGTGGGCTTCGCGGCCGCGGGTGCGGGGCGGCTGCGCGGGGCCGCGCGGTTGGAGTTGCGCTGCGTGCGCGCCGGGAGCCGGGAGCTGGTGTTGGACGCGCACCCCGCGCTGTCGGTGCTCGGAGCGCGGCTGCTGCCGCCCGGCGGGGCCGTGGAAGGGGAAGGAGAAGGGGAAGGGCGGGAGCTGCGCTTCGAGAGCCGCCCGTTCGCCAGCTATGGCACCGCGCTGCACCTCGCGCTGCCCGAAGAGCCGCGGCCCGGGGAGCTGCTGGTCGTGCGGATCGACTACGAGACGGGAGAGGGGCCTGGGGTGAGCGGCGGGGGGGCGGGGGGACACGGGGACACCGGGATACGCGGAGCCGGGGACATGGGGGGGTGAGGACGCCGGGACGTGAGGACACCGGGAAGTGGGGACTTGTGGACTCGAGGACGGGAGGACGTGGGGCGGCGGGGACCCCGCGCCATCTTTCACCCGGACCGCGTGCCGTCCAGAGTCCACGCGGCCCGCTGTCAAAGGCGCCGTGCCTCGGCTCTGGGCTGGGCTCGCCGCGGGCCGCTCCCAGCGCCACATCCCTCTGGCAGAGGGGACCGAGCGATGGGGACAGCAATGGAACCCTCGCCTCACCGCCTGTTGTTCCGCCTGTGCCGCAGGTGTCCTGGCTGGACTCCTCCCAAACGGCCCAGAAGGAGAAACCTTTCCTCTATACCTCTGGCTTCCCTGTGCTCAACAGATCCTTCTTCCCCGGCTTCCACACCCCTGCCACGAAGAGCACCTACACGGCCCGGCTCCAGGTAACGCCGCTCACTGCGCTGTCTCTTCTCTCGCCAGGTGTGCTGGCTCAGCCCCGAGCAGACCGCGGGGAAGCAGAAGCCCTATCTGTACACTCAAGGCCAGGCCGTCCTGAATAGATCCTTTTTCCCTGGCTTTGACACTCCAGCAGTTAAATGCACATACTCAGCCACAGTGCAGGTAAGCGGCACCGCAGGAGGGACGCGGGGTGCAAACCCCAGAAACCTTCCCGGAGCTTTTGTAGGGCGCAGCTCTGCTCTGTAAGTGCTGGAGAGGAGGGGCAGAAGGCTGCCATCCTCACAGGGTGCCCTCAAGGCTGGAGCAGAGCTCCCAGAGGGTGAAACCCCATGGATCAGCGCCAGGGGAAGCGGGGCTTCCCTGGGTCTGACATGAGGAAGATGAGTGGCTTTATAGGATGGGGAGGAGCAGCAGTTCCGCAGGGTTGGCACCCATCCCTCCTCCCTGCCCACCCGGTGCCCCGCTGTGCCCATGAACTGTGATGTGCTCTGAGAGAGCCTTGGTCGCGTTGTCCCCAGTGTGGGAGGGATGGCTGTGAGCAGCCCAGGCTCAGCTCATGGGATTCATTGCGGTGTCCCCATCAGGTTGGCTGAAACCCCACTGTGTGCCACGCAGATCTGATGGGCGTTTTGGTGACGTTTGCAGGTTCCCGAGGGTTTCACGGCCGTGATGAG